CGCGGTGCCGTCATGTCCGAACACACTCTCCGATTGGGTCACGATCGTCTCTACGAAGTTGGAAGTGGTGAATTTACTGGAATTTGTTGTGTTGTCTTTGGGTGTATTACGGCCGCTACTGCTCTTGTCGTCAGCAACGCCATTTATTTCTAGACTTGGACTAGTATTGGATTTGTTTTTAGAATTTGTAGCTGATTTGGAACTTGAACTCTTTCGTTTACCACTTGACGAAGATTTTATCGGAGTCTCCGCTTCCTTTTCAGGAGATGAGTCTGACGAACCATTATCAGCGGGTATTGGCTTATAAGGTGGTATTGTTTTTACATTACCACCTTTTTTCTGTAAGTGAAACGATCAAATTCTTACTGGAATCGACCGATTTGATTTCATCGAGATTTTGGTTTTAAACAGTATGACACATACCAATTTTGAGTAATGATGCTGACAATATCCACAGTATTTAACATTATCTAGATAATTGCCAGCTTCTTCACAGAGCAAGCCAAGAGCCTGAGCACAAGTAACATGAAATTGCTGCCTGCAGCCAGTCTTGTTGCACTGCATACAGGCTCCCACATTTGCTCTACTACCCCTTCCTTGTTCCTCACAAATATAACATGACTGTAACAACCACATTACATACTTTATATTAAATAATCATTAACAAGTCTATCTTAATTTGGGATATCTTTACCTTACTGAATCTTTCAGATGGTATCAATTGCAAAATAATTGGTTCCATTGTTGTCACGTTACCAAACCTAACTTCAGGTATATAAAGTGCACAAACCACATGTGCCCATCCAGCCTGATCGGTTCTCTTAAGAGCACCATCTCTGCTCGGACATAATTCGCAGCGCTGCAAAACAATTTGACACCCAAGTAAACAATGTACTTTTCAGGGCAATAATTATGAAACTTACTACACGGGCACTACGTTCCTGCGACTCACACTTCCTGCAGTACCATGGTCCCGTAGGTACCGTAACGATACCATAACAAGCTATAACAACATTAGAATGTAACATTACGATTGTATACCTTCAATTGTAAGCATACAACTCTATGCAGAAGAAGAATCAACGTAACAAACAAACCTTGGTGTACAGCAACTGTACAACCTTGGCCATCACAATACACCAGTGGATTTTCAGTCCAACCCCTCTCGTCAGAACACACGCAGCACCCTCCAAGCATCTCCTTCATGCTGTGTTCCAAGCAATTCGGAAGACGAGACTAGCATGAGGAGCTAGGCGAGCCGTAAGCGGAGATGTAACGCGAGGTAACCTCGCTTTCGCAATTGCATCCTGGCAATGTGCGATTCTCAACTCGTTTCTTCTTTGACTATTCTCCTCGATGCTTGTGGACACGCGTGACGCATTCAACGGTGAATCGTGGCTTGGAATGCGCGACCCCACGTTGCCCGTTGCTCGCACGATTCCACACCGTGGGAACACGAAGCACCGAGACCGAGGCGCTTTCAGAGTACCGTGCACCGGCTGTTCTTTAAAGAAATACCGTTTCGAAACGTGCTCGAACGGTTTGTTATTTACAACGGCGCTCTATTTGTTTCGCTGTTCGGCCATCTTATTTTGTTGTTGCGTCTTGCGTGCGCACGCGTATCCGCGCGCTCTACCGCGAAAATGTTAGAGCGTGTTCAAAAATCGGCCGACGTTTACTTTCTTTATAGTAGCTTCTTTCCGTCCGTGCTTCTTTCATAACAGTTATCAGACAGCTGTAAAAATGTACACAATACATGTAATATGTAAATATATATAAAATATACAACTACAGTATTTATTATATTTGGTAAATGGAACAAATTTCTATTTAAATATACCTTCTTTAGTTATATCCATAAAAATATAAAAATATATAAATTCAATTTACTATTATTCGCTATTTATAAAATTTCCTCCTTTCTTTTCCATTGAAATATGAATTCAAAATTTTCGATTTATAAAGATTAAATTATTTCTTTTTTATTTGCCTATAGATTCTTACATGCTTTCAAATTGATGCTATTAATATTTCTTCGTCGGAATTTTAAAGAATATAGAAGATTAGTTTGTGAAGGCTAGTTTGGAGATGAGAATGAATCACGTGCTCTATCAATGAATATGTTATGAACCGAATTCCAATATCGACCAATCAAAACCCTAGTTTACGATTCTATTTATGTGTAACACCTTCCAACAATTTACATTTAAGTAGAGTGAGTCCATTGCACGACTAATTGTGATGTAACGAGAAACATCGACTTATAACATATTTCTGTCACCAACATAAACGAAAAGTTACATAATATAGAACTATCAATTAAGGTATACATAAATAAAAGACAATAGAATAAACAGTAACTCTGCTTCAGGTGAAAGAGTGATTTAACGAATGAAATAAAAACACGATGGTAAAGTAGATTTCTAACTTACTGACATCTTCATTTTTACAATATTGATACATAGAAAAATGGAATCAAATAACGATCAATATACTTTCGAATGGGCGAATGACACTCACTTATCGGAGATTTTATCTTTCTTACATGAAAATTTCGATAAGCAAGAGACCATGTTGAAAAGTTTGAGAGATAATAATTCGTTAACAATTGAGGATGAAGAATCGATGAGGATCGATCACGAGCGACTGATACGGGCAATTTTCGCTTTTTCACCTTGCATCATAGCGATAGGAAAATCATCGAAAAAAATCATCGGAGTAAACCTGATGATAGTTAGTAAGAATTCGAAGTCCGATGATGGTGCTGATGGCGTTTCCGCTGCCTTCAGCAACAATCCTCCTAAAAATGAATTAATGAAGCAATATTTCAACTATTTATCAGAGATCAGTGAAACGGCTGATTTATATGGAAAGTTTCCAAACTCCAAGGCAGCCGTGGAATTTTATGCGGTCGCTGTGGATAGAAATTATCGTAGACAAGGACTTTCAAGGTCACTAATGGCTGCAGGAATTTCTTTCGCGAAAAATACCGTAAAAGACGTCGGATTCATATTTGGTGTGTATACATCTCTGTATTCGAAAAAAGCGGCGGGAAGACTTGGATTAAAAAGCATTATGGATGTAGATCTTTTGCACTACAAAGATAATGATGGGCGACCTATTTTTCAAGACACTCCGCCACATAATGTTGTTTCTGTTATGGTTTTGCAACTTATTTAAAATTTTCCAGATAGCATGTATCGTACAAAAAAGTATACAAATGTATATTTCTGCTAAAAAGTATATGAGCTAAAATTGAGTATCCTGTATCTTTCAGTTCTCATACGCCATTTAATTGTATAATAATTACTGTTTCTAAAAATGTATTATTAACAAAAATAATTATTAATAAATATTACTTTGAGACAAATTATTCAACAGTTTTATATTAAATATTAAATTAATTTAATTTCATACTAAATAATTTATCTATAATCATTGTTTATTATATATTAATTACTCGTATTACTGATATAATTAATACTTATTATCTACACTCTCTACTATCGCTTCAATACATTTGCAATCATCACTATGATTAATTACCAACTGTAAAACGTGTGAAAGACATTTCTGATTTATATTCATGTATCTTTACATGTTTGCTCGAGCGACCGATCAAACGCTAGCGCTAGAAACTGGACAGCTTGGTCTATTGCAACTTGCTTGTTTGACAGCCTGGATGGCTGCGATCCAATCGAACAATTCTTCTTCCTGAGAACATTCGTCATTTGATATTGCTATAGAATGCGATAACGTCAGCTACATAACCATATGATATCTTGTTCTGGGAAGTACCAATACTGCGCTGAAAGTCCCGCGAATCAAATTGACTATTTTACGTGTTACACTACGGTTATAATATCTTGGCTCTGCTCAACCAATTGCAATTCGCTGAAGTTGTTCTACAGGAGCGGAATCGAAATTTTGGAACGCAATATATCTACAAACACATACAAAGAGAATTATACATTATTGTAAGTAATTTCAAATTTCTTTTATGAAATTTTTAATAATAAAAATTGATATAGTTGTTAGTGACAATTCAAGGAAACGTGCCTCATGATTTATCTATTAATGAAGTATCTAGGTTGTCATCGATGGAAGTTTCCGGTAGTCGGTTTGAACTTCTCGCTTCTTCACGACATAGTTTTTTATGTCTTCGGTGATAAATTTTGTAACAGTGTATTTCTGAAATGTCACAGATATTAGACATAGTATTTTAATATCTGCTATATTTTTCATTATTGTCTGAATTTTTTTTTTAATTATTAACAAATACGAAATGACTAATATTGTCATCATAAAATAAAGTTCTTTTTTTCAAAATTTTCCAACGATAAAATAAAAGGACGATGCACCCTCTCGTGTTAAGAACAATTGGAAATTTCAAACTTAGAAATCCGTTAGCAGTGTTGCAACAACATCGTTTTACCCTGGACCGCTTCAATTATCATTTACGGAATTGCCAATTAATATTATCAGTCGTAAAATCACTGATACGTTTTCACATCGGCACATTTACAAATCCATCTACTATAATCTATCTGCATCCATCATGCTATCCAATTTTGGAAAACTTTAAAATTAAAACGAACGCGCAGAAATTTTGCAAAAAGCAAAAACATAGAACATATGTGAATTGATCAGAGAAAATTCTTTACTAATTGGGGATACTTCCGAAAAATGCAGGTACAAATTAATGGTACAAGTATTCTACACAAATGACCTTGTTTGTTTCAAATGACAGATCTGTTGATCTTCGAACAATTTGGAAATCGTGTTTTCCAGACTATCCAAGATAGCCATATCTTGTGTGGTACTGTCCGCTTAAAATTTAAACTACTACAGCTTTAGGACTGACAGGGAACGCTACTCGATTGACGACAGAATCACACAGATTTTTCGACACGATTCGAAAGGATAGACAAAAATATTTCTAGAAATGCTATTGGCAATTGGTTCCTACTTTTGTTTATTGTATCTTTGTGCAATAAATCAGAAGAAAGTAATCTCGTACGGTAACAGCCTAACCCCAACCTAACCCCTCTCTATATTATAATATTAATATTTATTATATTTATAGTTGCTACATAATAATATTAAAAAATATTTCCATAGATAAAGTCGCTAAAATCGCCATCCAAAGCATGCTGGACCTTCTTCGCAAAAATAGATCTAGCTGCTACCAATCAATTATCAGTAGCATCTCTAAAACATTCTTCTTCCTTCGAACCGTGTCAAGAAATTCACCAAAATTCCATCATCAATCGAATGGCTTGCCAGTGGAAAATCTTGAACGACGAAGAATTTCAAGTTTATGGCCACTGGCGGAGGGTAATGGACAATCCTCAATGAAGATTTGCCTCATTGACTAATTAAATTAGCTTTACACACGGTTAACGACCTCTGATGGCCTGTGGATCGACTAAATTTATCTCTGCGGCACTTTCATCAGCTCCCCCTCCCACCATCTATCCACAACAAGTTGACACATGACCTTGTATGCAGCTATATGGTTCCATTGACTCGCATATATCACGTTTCTCAAACGGGTATCGCATTGTTGTCGAGTATAATGGGTTCATTCGACTCCAAAGAATTCCTCGCTATCCGTTCGCCTCATAATAAATCGTAAATGTTATTCGTTGTAATAGCAGATGCACTTGCTTTCCAGTTGATAGAATTGTTTGAAAAATTGAAATTTCTTTGTGTGGTTGTTTTCGATCTCGTTCGACCGATTTGGTCAGTTATTTTAAGAGATATGAGGATAAAGAGAGCCGATGGAAAAATTGGAGAAATTCTAGAGCACGTGAAATGTGATAACATTGTTTGCGTGTCTTTCAAAACACGGTACATAGGTGCCGTTTTATCCATCAACCGATAGCCTGGTAATCGACGGTGTTAGGTCGCCTTGTATTCTCGTGGATGTGGCTGGTCATGGCCAGTGTAGCGTGACCCAGCATTGTCTGCACATCTGTCAGTCAAAATGAGGTGAGAAGGAATAAAATTAAACTGTAACTCGTTATTGAAAGTTACTAACGCGATTCGGTGGCTTTTTGGCAGACCACAGGTAGTGAATCGAGTAATCTGCGTCGAAAGTTGTGATCCTAATTTTTTAAACAGTTAGCTGTTTCCGACGAGTATACTCGTCGTGAGGAATTGGCAATATTTTGCGTTATGACGAGCTCTGTCAGTAATAGAATTAAAAAATAAAACAGTCATTTCGTTTCGACTTAATTCTATATTATAACAGCCACACATACTCTGTATTTGACGAGTATACTCGTCATCGCTTACTTTTTTGCGACACACTTTAAGTACACACTTTCCAAAGTTCTCAAAGATGTCGCAACAGCTAACTGGCTCATATTAGTTGTACTGATTGGTTACAGTACTCGTTCTAATATTAGTTAGATGAAACAAATCTGTCTAAGTCCAACATTTTTCCATAAATATCTGTTGTCTAATAATGACGTTCAGAGAATTTTTGGTTTTCTTTATGATTTACATAATATAAGAAGAAAATTTCTATTTGTAGGTGCTATATCGTATAGAAAGATGGAAAGAACATTTTTCAGGACGCAATTGAGATAGGCAAACGTTTCCTTATTTATAAGTTCGTTAGTGTGTCCCATCACACGCACTTCCCTTGTCATCTTTTCTAATGTAAATGAAGAATAAATATCGCATTAGTTATTTCAAATAATTGTATTTGCGTTTAGGAAACGAAACGGAATGCCACCGTACCGAGTCTGGGGTTCCACAGAGGATAGGACCATTGATTTCGAATCCTTGACGAACGAAACTCTGGAAGGAGCTCTGGATGTCATGAGAAAGAGCTTCTTTGTCTACGAGAGCGTATCCAGAGGTGTAGACCTACTCTCGGAACCTGGTGCATCAGAGGAACTCGAGAACCTTTGCCTGGATGCTGCCAAGGATGGCGTCAGTGTAGTGGCTGTGGACATACACAGTGGAGAAGTTATTGGAGTGGCTTTTAACAAGCTACAGGTAAATAAAAAGGATGAAAAAGCCAAAACATACTGCTAGATACGAGTTTATAAGAATATCTACGATAATTACCGTACAACCATTAAAAAGACACTGCCTTCATTGTCCAGGTCCTTAACGGTTCATCAGACAAGAGCGCTTTCGAGGTATTCAGTGAAAACTGCAAGTACAAGTCGTCGAAAGCTCTAGTGGACTTCATGATCAACATAGACGCTAAGATGAATTTATTCAAGCACTATAACACCGACTGTATTTTTGAAATAATGTTCTTGGCTACCTTGCCGAATAATCAGAAGCGTAGGATAGGGGAACTATTGGTTTCTACATCCATAGAAGTTGCAAAGGAGTTGAAAAAGGGAAAGGCAGTGAAGACACCAGTTACGATAAATGGCGACAATACGATACAAAATCTGGAAGCAGTGCCTAACCTAGTGTCTGCGATCATGACATCAAACTATTCACAAAAGATTTCAGCAAAGTGTGGATTCGAGAGCCTGGTGTCAACCAACTACAAAGAGTTCCAGTTTAATGGGAAATCTTTCAACGAGAGGATAGGAAACGAACATTTGAACTGTCTCCTAGTGGCTAAAAGACTATTTTAGGCTGAATGTAACTAGTTAGGACACTAATTTATTATTGGACTGCGGATTTCTATGAATTTATGGCAGATCGAAAGATGCGAGGATGTATATAATGTGCAAGAATATATAATATAATAATATGTTAATATTGTTATACTATTAGACGATACAAATCTTTGTGTAAATTCTATTATTTTTTTTATAAAAATATGAATTTATATGAATATCCATAATCTACTTATTAAGAAGGAATTTGATAAGAAGGATACTGATAGGTTTATCTTTAGAGATACAACAGAAAATACATATTTTCTTGCATAAAATTGTACAATACGAAGAAAATTGGCTCAGTGTCTATATATACTTCCACGACCTTGCGTTATTAAGTTAATCTGATTGTTGTAATCGAGTTTAGAGTGCTTGCACGCGATAAGGTAGCACATGTATAGTGTGTCAGCAGATAATTCACTAATCAGTGAAGAGTACTAGTTAAAAATATTTTCTTACACACGTTATGTCTTATTCCGTCAAAACATACAGGGGAAACAAGTATTATTCAAGTATTATTATGTCAAGGGGTCTTTTACAATAAACAAATTATTCTTTAACGATCCTTCTTTTGAATCGTTCTTTTATCTATCACGTCCAAGTATTCGACATGATAATCTTTATTTATGAACGTGTCCTAAATGATGCAAGCAGTTCAGAGTCCTCGCTTTGAAAAACAATAGTGCGTCGATTATAGTTCTACAACTTGTACACAGATAATACGAGCGTTTCCCCCATATGCATTAATTGGACGCTGAAAACTGAAGCGGAGGCTGCTTATCAAGACACCAGAGCTGTGCCAACAAAGGCCTTAATAGCCAGAGTGTAGGTCGCTTGGAAGAAACTACTCGAATTTAGCTTCATTCTGTTGTCGCACATGCAGCCGGGAACATCATTTTCCTCAAATATTGGTCTATGACTGAGTTATCGCTGCCAGTCGTCTCAGCACGTGTTGCTTCCTATCTGTTTCTTTATCAGCCTGTCAAAACAACAGGTAACAGATAAAAACGCCTTTCATCTTGAATAAAATAGATAAAACAATTAGTCGAACGTTAAATCACAGAAATTTATATGAAAATCTATATTATCTATATTTATCACAATTGTTAATCGAGCAGCTCCCTCGGAGAAAGGATTCATGAGACAAAATGGTGAATGGATTAAGTCCTGTTGGAAATTTTAGTTCCAGTTTTACCATTTCGCTTCTCAGCCATGTCTCTGGAGTCTGACGATGAACTGAACTACAAACTACTCACCAGAGACAAAGTAGAGGATGCTTTGGCTATACAGGCTCAGACCATGAAACAGGAAAATCTGGCAATAGGTTTGGGGATGTTTGAAGAAGATGGAGCTCCAGAAGAGATGTTGTTAGTCTTCAAGGAAGTCATCAAAGACGGTACCACGTTGATAGCTGTTGACAAGAAGACGAACGAATTAGCAGCTGTGGCGTTCAACAAGCTTCATGCAAGTTTTCATTCATTTCCATAGTAGCTAGCCAGTTTTTCCTCTAACTTTCTTTAAGTGATTTTCACCGAACGTTTTCTATCACTTTGAAGGCTAGACCCAAAGAAGGAGTAAAGGATGAGCTAGAGGTGTTCATAGAGGAGAACCTGAGGCACCAGACGTGCAGGCAGCTTGTCAAGCTTCTCGATGACGTAAGTGTCTCTTGATGATTGGCTAAATTGCCTCGTTTAGATCAAGTGTTATCTTCAATTTGTTCGGTAATTGCTTTGCTACCATCACAGGCTTTATTTAGAGATTCGGAAGAACTAGATGTATTTTTGAACTTGATTAAGACGTTTCTTGTGACTGTAACAGTACTAGTTTATCTTTGGAACTGAAGCTATGAATTCCAGACCACGCACTAGTTCGCATCTTTCCACCAATCAATAAGATCAATAACGAATCGAAGCAAATTCGTGGACTTGGCCTGTATTGGAATTCATAACTTCAATTAGAGTGTCATTAATAGCAACCAGAGCGTTATTAGAATAACCTTTTTTAAAATTTTCTTAAAGAAACCAACTAAGATTAATCCTGCTGCTTCTTGGTCCAAGAACAGACTCAGTGCAGCGTAGATATTTTTGAGAGGAACAATGCAAATGGGGCGTTGGAGTTGTTTTATCTTGGCACCAATCCACGTTACCAAGGCCGAGGGATCGGCCGCCAAATGGTAGAAAAGTGTATCGAGTTCGGTCGAGGATTGTTGAACGGTACAATGAAGAGAACATCGATCGACGGTGACGTTCTAGAGCAGCACGTGCTCCCAGAGATAATTTTTGGTATATTTGCCTCTAACTACAGTCAACGAATCGCAGACAAATTGGGTTTCGAGGTTCTACATGAGTTTCGGTACGAAGATTACAGCTTTGCTGGCAGAAAAATGTCCGAGAGGATAGGAGACGTTCATAGAACGGCCAGGTTGCAGGTTTTGAAACTTTAAAAAGAACTAAGACGTGCGAGAGATAGGTTCTGTAGTGAGTTCTTTCATGTTATGCTGTTGCGACTGTAATATCTGGAATGGTTAATGAAATATTTTTGTTCATCAAGAAATATTATTAGTATTTTTTGTTTGTAGAACCTTTCGAGATATGAATATAATATTCCAAGAAAAATAAAGAAAGAAGGAATCCAAATGGTAATTCAGTTTGTGCCATGAGTTTCATCAGACACATTCTATTGTCCATTAAGTAACAATTAAATAATTAAAACTCTTTGATAGAATAATGTTCGAATTTACATTCAGATTCGTTCTCAATCTCAAACTAAAATTCAAATTCGCATTTAGTAACTGAATAAATATCGAAACTAGTTTTTAGCTAGTCATTTTTAAAAGACGCATTTCACCATCTAGTGAGAGGATTTTAGAGGAAAAAAGAAAGCAGTGATGGGCAGAATCAGTACGAGGACACTCGAGATGAATATCAAGTCCGACAGTGAAGAGATTCTACGTTATCTCACGAGTGTCTCGTGGTTGGTACATAATTAACTTCGTTAGTCGGTGCCTGCTTTTCAGCAACTTAATTGATCTTGTTATTCAAACGAGTGGACGACGAGTGGTCGAGTGACGAGAAGATGAGCTTTATACGACGACCTTTTTTTTTTTACCTTTTTTATATAAGTATATATATGTATGTATTAACACATTTACAATCCGGTACATAATTGTTGAATATAGTGAATATATTGAGCGTAATTATGAATCTAAACATCGACCACGGGAATACGCTTATTTTCCTTTCTTTTTTATCAAATTGCTTTTTCACAAAATCCCCTCTTTCCAATACTACATACGTACTGTTATGGGAGATGCTTTCGAGGAGAAATGCAATGCGTTACATGAAAAAATTGTAACAGAATTTCTCAAATAAATTATTTTACAAATATACTTAAGAATTTCGATGCAAAATTATTAACAGCAGTTCTCCTCATTCTCGTAATATCGTTTTTATGTTAATTTCGTCGCATCCCATCGCCGAAATTTTCGATTCCACTTATTTAAAAATTTCAGCTTCGCGTCCGCCAAAAAATTCTACAACTTAGTTACACAATTAATAAAACATTTTTCATACTTCGATAAATCTAAGTTTATTATATTCCAATACTAACGAACATCAAAGCTTTTGATCCGCGATTGTAAATCAAATTTGAAAAATCCTAATAAAGAAAATCACAAAAGTAAACGATTGAAAAATTGCTTAAGCGCGGAATTAATTTGGCGGACCGGAAGTTGAAGATGCTACTGTATACGAGCTACGGTTGGAAATGTCATAGTTAACGTTATATTCACGGGGAAGACACCCAGTATAAATATATATGTATATGTATATATATTATGTGTGTGTATATACGGCACTGCTGATCGCTGGTAAATAGTATTTTTTTTGTTAAGTTTCGTAAAGCGTCTATCTGAAAGAGATGCGAAATACGCGTTTATCGTTTCGCATTGCTTAGCATGTCGCGCGCTAATTTACCATTGTAATCAGTATTCGAACGCACTACGGTCCTTTTATAAAAATATTCAACCACAAGCAACCAGATAAATGTAACAATATTTCTCCATTCAAGTTTGCATCAGATGCAATCTTCTTTTTTTATTTTTGTGCAACAGAAATTTGGGTCTCTTTCGATTGTTATCTAGTTAGTTATTTTGTTTGTTTTGTTTAACACATTCGCTGTTATCAAAATACTTCATCGGAAGTGTGTTTACTTGAAATAATTCAATTCTAAAAGATATATTAAATAATAAACACGTTCATACTTTCTTCAACTTCCTAGATCATTTGATCGAAAATACAAAATATATAGTACTATGATTCAATATTGCACACTACAACAACTAATAACTTAATAACTAATTGAGGGATATACCGAGCGAATATAACATATTAATAACAATGTAAAAAGATACAAATATTGAAAAAGAAATTGATTCTGCATCGACGCACCATATGCATCAATAGCAGCGAATGTGCCTACGATAGGTCAACCCTCCCAGGTCGTGAGCGTTCGATAAAAAAATAAATCACTATCAGAAAGCCAGCGATTAGATATCCTGTACGCAGAATATAGTTTCATCCTTTTCAACATTTGGCGATAACAACCAGCGCAATTGAACAGCGTCTTATGCATCAGATAATAATTAGGGAAAAGCCCTGGAAGTGTTGACTAGTTGATTCACAATGAAAACACTCATCGTGCTTGAGCCACATGAGAAAATGATTCGCTAAAAAATAAATTATTAAAAATCAACAGTTTGCTATTTTTTTCTTCTTTACTTCTTTTTTTTTAATTTTCTTCTTATTTCTTTTTTATTCTTTAATAGACTTTGTAACCTTCTCTAAGCGTAACTTCTCCGATTCATCAAGTTTCCCTTCTGTCGAATTTATTTCCCTCGTTGAACCAGAGTAACTTATTTACTCGTTAATTGCGCTTTCTTTAAAAAAGTTTAGAATCATTTTCTTTGTATGTAACTGCGTCTGTAATTCAATTTACGTCTCGTCGATTAAGAAAGCTACAAATTGAAATCGGCTTCCCTCTTGCGTCTTCCGTTAATTGTATAACATGATTTACTTCTTAATATATGTATACGTATATATACGATTAAATGTTGCGACTATAGAGTAATAATATAATAGTAGTACGTTCGTTATTGTTTTTCTTCCGTTTTCGTCTTTTATTATTGTAGCAGCTATAGCAAAATTGCAGGAAGAATAGACCTTAATAGGTCTAGTAAAAATTCATCTTCAGCGAAGATTATATTACTGAAAATTCACTGATAAACTTCCCCAATTTCTAAAACTAGCATCATTGGATCAGAGATAACGACAATAGTTGGGTTATAATCTATAATCCAATGGTACCAAGTGAAATCTAATCACGCTATTTAATGTTTTATTCTCATTCAGTTACAGCAATATGAGAATATTAATATGATACTAATAGAATAAATAAAATAGAAATAATGACATCAAAGACCATCTCAAAGCCTATTCTTCTTGCAATCTTGATATAATTACACTTGGAACGCTTATTATCAGTGTAAAAAAGTCATGGACGTATATAGCTTCTGCGATAGAATATGATTGACATATTTCCAACAACGAATATTCCTCTTTCTCTTACATTTCTACCATCTCAACATCTGCCAACAACAAACTACACTTAATTCACGGTACTTGTCTATGTGTGTCACGCTATTCTCAGTACGGCTCTAATAAATACTTATTAGCTATCGTTTACACGAGTCGCTACAGACTAAAACTCGGTATCTCATATTTTGGCACGAATTTTACAATTTTCCTTTCAGCCACTTTCAATCACATCCTCATTTCTTTTTGATTTTATGCGGACAGCGGTTTTTGATCAGCTTTTGGGACTGCGTGTCAGTCCAAGGAGAAGGAGGAGCGGGATTGACAGTCATGGAGAAACGATTCACCCTAATTCGTCTAAGATAAAATGCAGTGCTTACATACTAAGTACTAAATACGTAGAAAAAGAAGGCTCTTCTACAAAAGTTGAGCTAACACAGCTATCATAAGCAGACTGTGGATACCTATACATTTATGGAAAAAGACACAAAAATTTACTGGATATATATTATATAAAATATTCAAAGTAAAGTACTTCTTATAGTATTTCATAGACAAAATCTACATTTTGGTTTCATTACTTTACATTCATAAGAATGTGAATGTGTATTGATATCCACAATCCAACCATAAGATTTTTGTTAATTAAGTACATGCATTTATCAGTTCAAAGCATTTCTAAAATAATTGTCTTTTAAAATTATGTTTTTCCTACTTGTTTTCATGGTCACTGTATACTTGATGAAAATAATAGGCTTAAAATTCTAAATGACATCTTAAATTTCATATAAGATAACTCATCTACTTATTTAATGTTTTAGAAACACTCTGTACACAGAATACTAATAGAATAATACTGAAAGCGTAGAATTATTTTCGCATAAATAGTTGCGATAAATAATTAAAATGGTCAAGAATATCAACAGGATTATCCACGTGAATGAATTTTGTAAAAATATAAAAAAGGATCGCACAGTTTGCGCTGAAGAGATCAGAAATTTTGTTAAGTAGAAACATGTCTCATGTAAGTTACTCCGACTAGTTCGAATTTGTTCGTGCACCATATTTGTTCGTGTAAAATTGTGCTTTCACGCGTACGCACACACTCGCGTTTATACTCTATTTCTAAGACTGAAAAATCTGACGTTTAACATTCTTCTTCTCCTATCTTTGGCAAATATACTTATCTAAATATTCGCGTGTGCACGAAGTGGAAATGGAGGATCACAGAATCGCGATAAACCGGTAATTGTTTTGCCATCAGACAGTAAAAGCTCTATACTTCAAATATAACATCCCAAAAAATTTTATAAAATCAAAGTTTGTAAGTTTTTTTTATCTAAAAAGGTGTACCTGTGAAGATTCAATCACGTCATTTTGTCTTCTTTCATATTTGTTAAAAAAATGGCTATAATCCCAATATGGCGACTTGGGAACATATTAGAAGCCAAATTGGTATGTTTCTGTTTACAGTTATAGAGTTATAGAGTCAGAGTTATAGAGAGTTAATATTATAGACAGATTGAACCGCTCTATTTTCTTCGATATTTCAACAGAGACATTAGATTCTCAATTTCTGTTGCTAGATTCATTAAACATGGCAATGAATAACAAAGAAGCCTAACCTCTAAGCAGATCCTTTTCAATAATATGCAACTTTCAATCCAGTACACACTATTATACTTTGAGTTTATAAAATATCTTCTGTATTTTTTGTTTCTTTCTCTGACACACTCATTCACATATACACGCACGCACACCTATTCACATATATTCTCAACACGTATAATTCGAACGTTCTTTGTTTCGAAAATATTAAATATTCTCGTTATCAAAATAAAATATAAATCGGCAATAACGTTGTGTGACTAGACGGATGTTCTCGCTGGCAAATTACATAGGAAACATTGATCGCTTCTCTCCTTCCTCCTCCTCTTTCTCTTTCGCTCTTTTTCTTTATTTCGCGTATACGAGATAGTCGATATTATTGCTTTCCCCGGGTCCATGCCACCTCCTTTATCACAACTGTGCACAGAAAGCTTTCCTCCAGTTCAAGAGAGGTCACTCCATCGATCAGGGGCGGTAAAGCCAGTTTTCTATATTTGTTTCTGTAGTATCCATAAATGTAATAATACTGATAGAAAACAAAACTTAAGATTAATCCTTTCACAGGATTAATTAATTAGATAAAAAAAGAGAAACTTTTTCAAACACAGTGCAAAGAAAGAATCGGTTCAGAACTGATGTAGAACTGGCCTAACTGCTCTAAGTCCGTATGATCCTATTTCGTCACAACAAATTACTTGTTGTGTCACAAAAAGTTGTAAGTTTTAATCATTGATTAACTTTACGAATTCACCGTATCATTTTCAACTACTACAATATATTTGGCAGTTTGCTTAACTGGGCTTTGGGCTACAACGGTTAAAAAGTTAATTAAGTCACTACCCCAGTCGATTGCAGAGCTCTCACTACACGTGTTCTTGCACATGCTACTCCCAAAGCATCTTCTTTCTCCTTCTTACCCCTATATCTTTAATTTCTATAAAATATTGACGTTCGATTTCTTCTGCTTTTTTTTTCATACGTTTAAACAAAAATTTGTAGAATGATTATTATGGATCCTTTATGCTGTAGAGTTAAATACAAAGACTCTAGATGGTTTCCTGAAAGATGTTCATCTTTGAGAAGATTCACACTGTACGTCAGGTGGTTGCATGGTCAAGTAGCAGGGCTGAGTGTCATGGAAATGCGATCTGACGAGAAGACCTAGGCCTAGAAGGACCACAGGAAGACCCAGCAGAGCGCAGATTAACTCTCCCGTCACTCCGGGAGACCATGTGATGAAACCTGTTTAAATCCTTCGTTTGAGAAATCTTATTGCTTCTAGAGGAAACAGGCAGGACTTCTAAAGTAAATTGAGTTTTGTAAAGTAAGCGATTTTAGTGTGTCTCAAAAGCGTAATCAAGATCCGAGTCTGATTTACGAATCACATATATAATCATTTCAAATGAGACAATAATTCCTACAGCTTGTTATAGTTTTCTGGTGATTATTCAGGTTTCTAATTTTTCCTAAGTATCTCAATCCTTATGAGCAAAGATATACATGGTCAATTAATTAGAGACTTTTTACTCACGGCCGTGAACATCCATTTTATAGATGCTCCACCAGATTACAGACAATGGAAGGGACACAGTGGCGGTAGCAACAGTGAAGACAGCGCTCTCACTTATAGACAAGAAGTTCAATACAGAAATTGAGAAGATGATATAGGCTATTAAGAAGATCCAGCCACGAGTAGAAATATTTGAGCAGTTGTCGCTGTTTTTGAAGTGACACATGAGTCCATGCTCCACCACGCGGTATAGCTCTGCTGGAGATAATCCCTGGAACAGAAAAAGTACAACTTCATTTACTGGAATGAAGTCTTAACTAGTACTTGACTAAATCGATCAAATAAATAAATCTTGTCTATTGAATTCCAGTTATCTGATTATGAATTTCTACTATGAATGAAAAATTATAGATAATGGGGAGAATCATTAAATTCCTATGTACTATTAGATTCTTGTACTCTTGATGTCTACTGAGTAAATAGAATCCCACCATAATTTTAAATGTAAATTGATTTAATTAACTTACTCTGCCTATTCCTGGCAACGTGTCGATCCAGGACATCGATAAAATGGCGAAGAACGCGATTAAGTGAATATAGAAGAGAGTTTCGAGGATCGGAGGTTTTGGAATATGTTTTGGTTTTATGGTGGGGTCAGGATCTGTCACGTGGAGCAATCTGCCTCCCTCTTCTTCAGAACCTCGTCGACGGATGTCTCGTGACGATACCAATCTTGATACCGTATAAAGGAAAGAGTTCTGTTGGCTCGCCATTATTTGACACATATTCTGTTGCTGGAACATAAAAAACATTATCTTTTTTTTTGTACAATTGCCTATTTTTATGACAGAATAAAATAATTTATAAAAATAATACGGAATCTGTATTTTCCATAGAATACATTTTATCACAGAATATTAAATTTTCTTGGTAAAACTTTTATTTTTGTGTGACGGTATACGTATATTTATTTTTTTTCTTTTGTTCTTAAATCCTAGTCATTATATACACGGGATAAAATGTCCACAATATTTCTTTCAATTTATTTTTAAGCTCTCACCTCAGTGGTATAATGGGCCTCGAGCAAAGTGAAGAACATAGCGAAAGCGGCTAGCGCACCGACATAAACGAATGTCCAAATGGCCTTCACGCCCCAAGATCCTCTCATAGTTGTGGTATGACCCGAAACTTCCTGTCCTCTACACCGAAATTGATCACAGAGGCCATAATCAACGCTTATGAAGAGACCCACAATTATCGTCGTGCTTGAGAAGATCCTCTGCAAGCTCATCACTATAACAATAGATTATTTTTTATTTTCTTTTTATAAGAATGATAAAATGTGGAATCTTACTTTTGCGACAAAAGAAGAAATAGTAGACCAGGGAAAAGACAAGAGTAATGCCTTTTATGGGATCTTGTAGATGACAGAGGACCCTGTCCTGGTCCAAGCAAAGCGTGATCACTATGCCAGAGAGAGCATAGATGAGACTGATTTTGAGCAGAGCACAACGAGGGATCTTGATTCGCATGCTGTTTGGAATCAGGGCGGGTGGTGGAGATACTCTTCCTGCGATGAAACATATTATGCCCAGGATGAAGGCAGAGCAGAAGGCAGTGAAGAGAAGTCCTAAAATTGGTACAAAGAGATTTTATTTTACATTTTTTATTTATTCCTTCATGTAGAATCACTATCTTGCCGTTCATAACCTACGTAATAGAAAAATTCTCTGTAGGATCGTAATGGAATCTCATAGCAAACAATCCTAATCGATACTACAAACTTCTTATATCAATATCATATCAATTGTGTAAACACGTATAGACAGAACGTACGGTTTGAAAAAGACGAATGTGTTGGCGCGACAAGGAAGGATAAAAGCAGAATAAAATCGCCTACGCGAAGAAACTACAATTAGCATTATCCATTCGTTTCCGGAATACCTGTGTATGCGTTGGACACGTAGCTGACGCTCTCGAGATAAAGGGGATAGGTGATAATCAAAAAGGTAATGGAGACGACGACGATCAGAAGGGTTGCGACGAAGCTGAATTTTTGCCAGGCCACCCTGTCCGTGTCGAACAGCTTATCAGTGACCTGATAAGCGACATATGGCGAGTCGTCGGTGTCGGTGTACTCCTCGATCTCAACGTCGCTTCCTGTGCACCGCAGCTCCTCCTGTTCTTCGTCGTCGACCACTGTCGAAACGCAACTCGCCAGGCCCGCCAGTTTTGCAGTTTATTTTGTTCACCTCTCTGAAAAATATTGTTAAGACGTGTTATTATTAATCGTCAATAAAATGCAATGCAGATAAAACAGTTGATTGATAATTTTCTCTTGCAACGCAAGGCTATGTTATTTAACTAATTCTTCATTTACTGCTTATTTTTTGTTACATATTTTACAATATATGATACATAATATACATATTATATAACACACATTATAATAATCTGACTCATATTATAGTAATTGAGGATTGACGCAACTGAGAAATGAAAAAACGAAGCGAAGAACGTAGTGCTAAGTTCTGAACACATGAATTTAAAGCGCAAACGTAGTACTGTATTTTGTGTACGTGGACTTTAGTCAATTAGAATTGAACAACAGAGCAGTACATCTGAACGCAACACGAAGCTACAAACAAGCGTAGTACTAAGTACGTGCATGACCTGTAAACTATTCCTGGAAGAAAAAACACAATACAATATTTACAATTCATCCAATGTATACTAAGATCGATCGTCATTTGCAAGGGTGAGCTTTTTTCTCGCAGCAACGTAACTCACGCAAAACGATTCGGTTGAGTTCAGGTCGATTTGTTTTTTATCCCCGACATTTTTCCTTTTCGTCCTTGCAATGGTGCACAATTAACGAGCACGTTGCATGCACACGCCGTTCCTCTACATACGCTTTTCACCGTGCAGAGATTAGATAACCGGTCTTTCCGTTATCGGCTCACCGGAATCGGAGAATTTCGTGCCCGGTTCTCCTGTATGGAAATCTGTGTGCGAATGCAAACAGCGAATGGTCGGGTGGCTAGTTGGCAAGTGACGAGCATAGTAACGTTAATTCCCTCTTTTATAATGCTTTAACTTTTTATTCAAAGTAGAATTTGATTAAAACAGAAGGTTTTTATAGGTATATCTTAACTTACAATTAGATTGCAACGATGCATTAAAAAACTGAATAAGTCGAAAATGGTGGCTAGATTATAAGAAATATAGTCGTGGCTGAAATGACGAGTTAACTCGTGTCGCTGTCGATGGCCACTGATATAGTGTTACGTCTTTCTACGATCTATGACTGATTGCTGTCGACGTAATATTACGTCTTCCTGGAAATTACAGCTGGTTACCACTGACGTAATATTACGCTTTTTTTATAAACTACATTTGTTTACCACTGATGTAATATTACGCCTTTTTCTTAACTACACCTGGTTACCACTGACGTAATATTACGTCTTTGTTTTAAAACTACATCTGGTTGCCACTGACGTAATATTACGTCTTTTTCTTAACTACACCTGGTTACCACTGACGTAATATTACGTCTTTTTTTTAAAACTACATCTGGTTGCCACTGACGTAATATTACGTTTCTTTATAGACCATAGCTGCTTACTATTCACGTAATATTATGTCTTTGTATAAACTACAGCCGATTACTAGTGACGTAATATTACGTTCTTTCACAATCACAAAAAATACGACTAAAAATGCAATATCGATTATCTTTGAATATCTTGTGTTTAGTACTGTTATATAAATGACGCACATATATTATATCTTTTATTTGACGAAATATTAATTGTGGAACAGATAGGAGAGAAAGATCGGAAATCAAATTTAATGAAACTTCGAAACAAGTATTAAATTACGAAGCTTTAATTTTCAGCGGGCAGGCTGAGTTTAATAAATGCAGTAAATGTATTTTAGGAACGAAATGCATCTTTCCTTCTATTAAAGTATCTATACGTCCGCCGTCTTTCTTGCCAGTTTTGGAGAAGTGTTGATAAAACTTTTAGAATTAATGAAAGCTCTCGGTAAAGAGAAGTTATTTAATTCAGAAAATATTTAACTGTGCGTGTGTATGTGCACGCGCGCGCGCGCGCGCGCGTTTGTGTGTATGTATGAAAACGTTCAAGTGACCGAATTTAATTAAACTGATATAACTAAATTAATTAGATCGAAAGAGTTTCTCCAGTTGAACATAAACGAAGTGTCCATTCCAATTTATAAAATGTCGTCATTTACGTGCAAGTTCTATCATATCTGTGTACAAAGTTTTGTTGCTTCCACCTTGTAAAAGCTCTGACATTTTTAAAGCGCATGAATTTCATTAGAAAATGTGTTGTAGCTCGCGTAATAATTTTTGTCACGAGTAATTGAAAAACTCAGTGAGAAAGTAATGTAAAAAAATGAGAGTACATTTTTTTCTAAAAAGAAGAAAAGAATTAGAGTGGAGGCTACATAAGCATACATACTTATCTAGGGAATTTTCTCACAGATACCATAAAACTTTGTGAATACGTGCTCTACATACTAAATGTAGTCATTTTTTAAACTGCTTTAGTAATGTTTAATTCAACATCTGCTAACCCCTCCAGTACTTTTTAATTCCACGTAGATATATATATTTGATCTCCGGTAACTGTATTATAATAATCTTTCGTCGACTGTGTATTTTAATACTTGAACAAACGTACAGATTATTTCCCAAATGAGCGAACGTTCCCCAAATTGAAAATTTCACCGATATCACTTTTCATACGATCAAAAAATTCCCCACGTCGGTCCAGTACTGGTACACAGATTATTTCTATCTATTTTCTAAGTGAGCGAATTTTTTCCAAATTGAAAATTTCATCGCTACCATTTTTCATACGATCAAACATTTCCCTATATCGATATGGACATCCGACATGGATGCTGCAAAGCAGGAAACCAATTAATATGTATCGTGTCGCGACATGTCAGATTTTCCCCTAGGATCGCGCAGCCGATAAAGCGTAAAATCCTGTCGGAAGCAGATTCCTTTCACTGTTCGACCGGCAGATGTCACAAAGCAAATTCCATTCCGCAACGATGGAGTTAACGGTTCGCTATTTCTGGGCTCGAAATAATATCGATCTCCGCGATAACGGGCCAATTTGTACAAGTTATCTAACTCAATGCAATAGATAGAAAAAAGATATATATATATATATATAATCGGAAAATCGACAGAGAACGAATTAACTTCGACCTGAGAAGCTTTTTGGTACAATCGCAAAATAAAGCAGATATCTAAGTGATCTCATTTAACCGAGACACCATGTATATGAACAAACACGGTTTCATACTCTCTCTTTCTCTTTTTATTCCCAATTTTTCGGCACAGTCAACCGAGAGGTTTTTCAACGGCTATCGCTTTTTACAAGAGATCGATTAACTTTTACTTACTATGTTCTTAAACGTGTACACGCGAGGTCTACGTGCATTCGCTGGCCCGATTTCGAATAAGCTTACTTGCGAGATTTTACCGTAAGCTAATCCGTGTCGCTCGCTGCGTATTCTAAGGGAAAACCTACTGCTACTCTTTCTTCGTACATCGTATGATGAGGCGTTGAATCTATCCTAAAGAAGCTACAGAAGGTCTGGGTAAAGAATTCTTCGACTCATAACCTTTTTCCTTTAGCACGTTAGACTTTTTATTTTGACACAGCGCAATCGACGTTCTTCGTGAGTCAATGAGAATACGTTCGAATGATTTCGATGAACTCACGAACAAATACCTTGACTTATAAGACTTTCTTACCCGGTCGGTAATAGTCGATCGCGACGCGAATCAAATGGAGAACTTCAATGGGTTCCTTCGGTAAGAATACGGCTTTGTTGGCTTATCGGTAGCTTATCTAGCTATCCCTTTCTCTCTTGATCTCTTCATCTCTTTATTTGCGCGAACAGCTCGGCATTGAAGTATTTATAGCTTTATTGCCATCGATGATCGACAGTGTCGTCATATAGCGAATGAAAGCTCGTAACGATTCAAAAGATCGCTGGATCTTAATAGGAATACGAACAACTACGTTTAGTACTTCCTACTACGTTTAGTAGTAGTAATAGTACGTTTAGTAGTATTTACTACTTTGGAATGTGTATTACTAAATGGAATATGCATTTTGCAATATTATGTGCAATTATTATAATTCAAATTTCTTACCACTATGTGGTAATGTACTTGCTACTATGTGATAAAAATTCAAGTTGAAACCAGAAGTGTGTTCCATGAAATACTCGATTAGAAATATCGTACAAAATGTTCGTAATTCGAATTTGTAATCGAAAAGCTAATATTACATGATAAGCATCGAAGTTGTGACCAAGCACGTAGCACTACGTTCCAGTTACTACGTACGTTTAGAGTTTTAATTGGATTGTATCTCTCTTCTGAAAAATATGTAAAATACGGTTAACCGTCATGCAAAACACAATGGTATTTGGAGGGAAAAAGGCGGCGTTTAAGGGCGGAACAAAAGAATCTAATTACTAGCAACTTCACTCGTCACAAGTGGCTCGAGACAGAACCGTAAAACTCGGGTCTCTAAAAACAATAGGATAAAGTGTGACGCAAAGCGACCGGATTGAGCTTTCTTTGGGAGTTTAGACCTATGTTATTTTTTAATTTTTCACCACCTCGATAATCTAACGAAACGCGACACAGCGGAAAGAAAATAATTGAATAAATTCTACCTGAGCCATCTTGAAGACCTTTTTTGTAAAAAAGAAACATTCAACCGAGAAGAACTAGCATTTAATGTCGCTAATACAATTCGCATCAAACAATTTAATTTTAGATTTTAATAAATTCTGGAAACAATACTGTTTAATAATATTCTATCAAAATGTTTCACTTACAAAAGCGAAGTTGAAACGTTCAATGTCTTCCAGATAATTTATACGTTTTTTAATGAAACATTTTTGATGATTTCATTTAATAAAGACAACGTAAATTTTAATCGTTATAATGTAAATTTTCATCATGTATAATTAAGACAAATTTTATATACATGGCGGAAAATTAAGTTATCTCCTATGAGAAATGCGATAAAAAAGATTCTAAATTTGAGACTCGGTCGGTAAGATGGCGACAGGATATTGGCATTTTCCAGCCGAAGAATTAACAAACGTTAGGCCACGGAAGTGCGAACCCCCGGTGTCGAGGAACTCTCTCGCTCTGAAACGAGACACTTTAGAGAACATTGAGTGTACTCGAGGGATTATATCTCGGTGCATCCTTGTCCAAGATCGGAAAACTTTTCCTTAATACAGCCAGAAACTTCCGACCAATCTCCACAGAATTTATACAACTTTCCTACCGCCAAACAAACTACCCTATAAACCGTTATTTTTCCCCTTCTTCAAATTGACATCGAAATTTATTAGAAAATAAATGGAACAAAATTACAATTTATATTTCAATTTATTGAGAAATAATTTGAAAATGTTTAAAAAATAATTAGAAGTTGCATTATGGGTGTTTGTGTTTTTTTTTATTATCAATAGCGAATCACGTTATGTATTTAATTATTCTTCATTAATTGCTATATTCTTTGTTAGGAAACATATCTGTGTATAATTTATTTGTTAATTTAATTAGCGACGCGTGTTTGTTTATTGCACTATTAGTGAGTGATTTTTATTTATTTGTACTTCGTGATTATCAATGATATCTGTATTTGCTGTATGGTATTTGCTTCGAACAAATACAATACGAAATACAAATTTTAAATTTCGGTAACATAAAATCAAGTGGGAAATATGAAGGGAAATGAATTTTGAAATTTGTCAACAATAATGAGGTAATAAATAACTCCTTAATTACAGGAAATCTCCCGTAAACAGTTGCGTTCAAAGCAACAAAGAACGCCAATAAGTTGCACGTCTACAGCCAATATCCAATACAAACTGCCACAACATCTAACCTAACAACATAATTTCGATAAGAGATCGAAAAACCGATAACCTCGAGCTACTAGGTACACCGCTATAATAAAGTATGAACTAGTTTCTGGTCACCTGTCACGAACATTCAAACGTGCTTGCGGAATCGAATAAATCAAAATCATTCGCGAAACTCTATTTTGCAGGTTAGAGTTTAGCTTGATCGATGGAAAATTTCGATTCGAATTCCATCGAGGCGGGGAAAAAGGTGAAAAAAGAATTTCACGAAATAATGGCTTATGAACGAACTCTATATACGTGTTGGTATTGCGACTTACCTTCGAAACCTAACCTGACACCGCCCAGTGTGACACCAAAGCTGCTTCGAATCCTTCGGGAACTATCCTGTTCCTGTGGACGCTGTGCCCACTGGGGATTCACATTCGTAAAACGTCAGGAAACTCGATGTGTTTCACGAGAGCCGCGAACCACACGAAAAACCAGAAAAAACCACAACTTCGTCCCATTGTGAGACGACAACTGGCTTCGATGCGGGCTCCGGCCACTGGCGCGCAGTACTGTCGCTAGGCGCTTGGAGACCACCGCCCTCTGTGCACGAAAATCGTTTCATTTGAATTTAGAAATATAGCGTGTTTCGGTAATCGTGGTATAATCGGTAAGAGGGTGATTCTACGTGACAGATAAGTTGAAAATATGGTATAACATTTTTTCATACGACGTTCCGTTTTCAAGAAAATCGAGTTTAAACATCTTTTAATTAAGTAGACGAAGTAGAAAAAGTAGAATGAATTTTTTCTTATACGGTACTTCAAATCATTTCCTTGCCGATTTTAGCACAATTATTAGAGCACCCCGTATATTGTTAATATTTACTAATCGAATGTAGCATAGATATTATAAGAAAGAATATTACTTTTTATATTTTTAAATGTCTATTTTCTATATTTCATTATAATTTAGATATTTTTTGACAGCGTTATAATTGCTTTTGTAAGACTTGCCTCTTTTTAGAGATAAATTCTGTGAAATTTTTAAACATTCCTTTGTGAAAGCTGGACAATGTGTTTAATTTTTGATGAACGAATAAAATTGAAAATTTGATTTATAATCCAATATTTCCTTTTTCACCGAAATATTTTTGTTAAAAGTGAAGCACTTTATAATTACATTAATTGCATTGTACATTGTTCTCCAGCTTGTAGCATTTTATAAAATTTACAATAAATAATCCTTTTGGCAAAATGAAATAATTTGTTAAAAATATCTTCCTTCGTGGTATTATATATATTTTTAAATATAAAACTGTTGTAATAACACGTCTTTAAATATTTCAAAGTTGACTGTGCGCAATAAATCACCATAGGAGAGAACGGTCCTGGTATCACGCATGCGCAATGGATGTAATTGTAACTGGCGTAGATAAAGCGGGGGATACGTTTTACTCTTCGTCGAATTAATCGTGAAAATTATGAATTGTTAATTGCAGCTTGACGAATGTCGCCTGCAGATCTTCTTTCGTTTCCAAGTAATTGTTTCGTATGTCTGTGTTAATAACTCGTTGCGAAGACGGAAAAATGAATGATCTCATCGACGACAGGAGAATTCAATTACGCGCTCTGAAAATTCGTATCGCTGCGTATTCAATTGAAAACTGATTAATCCAGATGAAAAAGTATTTCTGATTGTATCTCGCGAATATCTAGCATTGTACAATTCGATATGAGATTAATTAATCCAGATAAATTGCTCTTCTCGTATGGTGAGAAAAATGATTATTTTAGAAACGAGACTCATTCGCAAATTTTGAAGATTCTAACCTAACCTTTGCAAATTTTGAAGATTCTAACCTAACCTTCGCAAATTTTGAAGATTCTAACCTAACCTTCGCAAATTTGGTATTGCAAACGACATCCAGAAACGGGAACTGAAATTATTTAGTTTTAATAATCGTCATTTACAGATAAAGACGCATTTGGCGGGAAAAGCCATTATTTTTAAATTTTCCAGTTTAGCATCAGATTTTCACGAATTTGAGATCTTAGACGTCACGAAGCAACGAGGATACAATTTCTCCCGGCTCTCTGTCATTTTCAAGGAAAGTCGTGAGACACGGGGTAGGGTGATTTTGGCACTGGCTTTAAAATTCTATTCGGGACTTAGACAAAGCGGAATTTGAAACAGTATTCCCACGGCGATCCTCCTCCTCACTCCTCACTCCTCACGGCAAAGAGATGCAAGAATAATGTCGATTGTAAACTTCGCCAATTGTAGGAGCTTCTCAAAGTTTCGCAGCACAGTCGCGAGAAAGGGCAATTTCGGTAACCAGATACTCACGTTTCAATGAAACCTGGCTGAATTATGAACAATTCTCTGACATATCTGTTTTAATCCCCTTACATTTGAAACTATTCCATCTCCAAATTTGAAAGTCAAATCTAACCTCGCTCTTTCGTCAAACCTTATCGAGAAATCAAACTGTTTTTATTAAAACTGCCCATTGTAATTGAACTTTCAATTTTCAAGGATATTGCACACATTTGGAGTCTCGAGTATGTCCTGAACGATCGGCGAACGTTTTAAAGGACGCAGCATGAAAAGGAATGGCAGAAAAACGAAATAGTACGTTTGTAGTACAGTCTGCGATTAGGAGGAGCTTCAAAGCCGAGGAACGGAGAGGGAGAGCGTATGAAATTGGAGCGTAGCAATCAGAAATGGGATGTTCATTGAATTCGGCCGGTAAAGGGGGAAGAGTAAACCACGACAAGGAGCACAACACACATTGTGAACCAAACCCTGAGGGGAATCGATAAGAACTGGGTTAATACGATCAGCTAAAGCAGCAGACTTCTTTAACCTGGCTATTATATTTAAAATCGACCATATGGCCAAATGTGGTAAACAACCCCATGGGACATGCATTTTAGTCCATTTCCCTTGAACAGAATCGCTTTCGTCGCATTATTCGGCCTTGTGGTTGGTCTTTCTGTGAATCTATGTGACTTTTAGAATTCTCCATCTAAGATCTGCCAAGTCCTTACTGGAATTCCCGCAAAAGCTTAATCCGCAAAAAAACCTGCAATCGATTCTCACTTTCATCTAAATTTCTCCCTCTACAACACCCAGACATCAGTACTCAAACCATTCTCCAACCTAAACTACGTTCGTCGTCGTAACTTTGCTAAAAACCGCAATGCCCGAGCAAATACAAAGCGTAAATCTTTGGTTCCATAGAACTGTATCTCACTCCAACGCAGGAAATAATTGTTTCCACTTGGTTAATAGGTGTCAGTTCAGCGGCCGTACCAAGACGGACTGGTTAATCTTCAGTCGGGGGTTGCGTGTCTTCGGCTCAGGGCTGTAGGCGTGGGACGCACGTCGAGCCCTGCGCACAGTACGCGTACTGAAAGCCGCGCGGAAGCCGCGCCGGAAGGTTTAGTCTGCGCGCGACACTTGTCCGAGACGCGTCGCGCTCCTCTCCTCCAGAAAGTGTATCCTCACAACGATTCCTTCGTAGAACCACGAGGAATATTTCAATCGAACTCTCGACAAACCTTTCTTCGTTGATCGATCATGGCTTCACACCTGCACCACGGGACACCGTGTGATAATCCTATGGTGGTCCTCTGATTCTAGGGTTGCTGGCATTTTTGAAACTTTCTGGACCGTTTCAGTGAGGAACAGAGATCTCCGTAGAGATACGGAAATAAGGTGGAGAATTGAGTTTTATTTTTCTAGTTACCTGCTGAATTTTTGCAACTTGCTGTCATCCGAAGAATCCAAGATGCAGGAAGTGAATAATTTCGTAATGATTGGCTGAGTTCCAAGAGATCCCGAGCTTCTTGCGATCCTGACAGGGGTCTCACCGTCCGGGGAAACAAAATTTGAAGCTTCTCAGTTCTGCGAATCCTTCGATCATGATTTATCCAGCCGATTCATCAAGGAAGATTCCCAGCGAAGCGCTTCTGTGAAGAAGAAGATCTGCTAAAGTATCTCTCTTCGATAGTCTTAAGATATATTCGACAAACTGTTACCTATCGATAATTAGCTGCGAAAAATTGTTGTTAGACGAGAAGATTCGTCAAAGAATCGAGTTTGAAGGGTTTAAGAGGAGTCAGACAGTGGCAGATGAGGCCAAGTCCAGGCAAATCTGTTACCAGGCTGAACATTGAGCGTCGAGGGGCCTTGGCTCGTTTAAGCTGTAATTGCCAAGCTGCTGTATGCAATTGGACCGTTTGTTCCTGTCGTGTGTCCGTGATTGATCCACATTCCTCGTCCAGATCGTCGCTTTCTTCTCCGCAGGCCAGCATTCCTCACAGTTTTGGCATCCCATTTCGCCAAATGTACACTTACGCCGAATATTAACATGATCCTTCGTATCAAGCTCTGCAGAGACTCTTCAAAGACTCTTCAAGACAAACTAAAATCGAAAGAAAACGCCTCGAAAGACCATTTTTTAGCTTCTGATCGGCTAGAGCTATCGATCCTTTGAGTGAACAGGTGTGGAGGTGGAAATTACGAGGAGGATCTCGTGTGAAATCTCGGAAAGGGACTGGAGTCTGAGTTTGGGGAACGGAGCAAGCAGTTGGTGAGGTTTCGCAAGGATCTGACAAGAAGAGATAGTGATGAAGCTGGAAAAGAGCGCGGCAGATCGGATGGATCTTCGTGGAAGATTGATCAGTCAGTCTGATAAAACGGAGGAGGAATCGTTGTGAAAGGAGCCTAAGAGTGCCGGGAATCAAAAACGTGTCAAGATCGAGCATCAAGCGAAGGTAAGAATGCTCGAGTTTTATCGTCGATTAGCGTGACGATTCGTTGATCGTCCCTCGCGAGCACGCACTCGTTCTGATCGATGATTATGAGCGCCGCTGACCTGTCAGCTACGTCCATCTCTGTTTGGTCATAAAAATCGCAGTTAAAAATTCATCGACAGGAATTTACTTTAGTCGGTTCATTTTTGATCCTTCGTGACCCAGTCGCGTTTGACGTTCGTCTTGTTTCAGCCTCTTTACTTTTACACAGTTTACAAATGGATATTTTTAAACCTTTGTATTAGAGCCTAATGCAACAGCCAGTCGCTAACAAATTTCGTTTCTATTCGATCGGAGATGGAACAAAGTCTCTAGGAAATGTTAATGTGATTGGTGAAAGGACTGCGCAGATACAATTTCTTTCTTCTTATCGTTCGCACGTTTACGTGGAACGATCTAAATATTGCAACTTCGCTCGTTGGCGAATAAATACGATATTACAAAAAACTGTAACAATTTCAAACGAAAATGTCTGTTTTATCGGGTGGACATTTTTTGTGAAGTTACAATCAACTTATTTACAAGTATCGATTTTAGACTTTCTTTCGTCCATCATCGTAAATTCGTTCGACATGGCCGGTTTATAAAAAACTTGCACGAAGCAAAGTTACTCATCGGGTCCCTGTTATTCGACCGAATCATCGAAATTACGCGAAGAAGAAGCGAGTTTCCTTAAAATGTGGAGAACAGTCCGGAGCATGTTCTGTCGTTTCATCCGGCTCTCTAATACTTCAGCCGGTGCTCTAACCCCGTCACGATTATGTCATCGTTTCAGTTCGCCTCGTCAAAGTTACATAGACCTAGACATGGTTGCAGGGGGAAAACCCGGTTTTCGCTGCAATTGGCAGTCGGCTATTCGCGTCTGCGATCATAATGGCCCGAATAAGCAGCGGTAGAACGCGTATGCCTACGTTCTATTATTGGCTTATGATCGACAACCATAATAACGTCCCTTTCACTACCCTAATTGGTCGATGCTCGTTAAATCCGAGACTCTATCGTCAACCGTCAAGACAGACTGATCTGAAGCAAACAAGAGACACTGAACATCACAAGGATCATCCTTCGAAAGTGTCGGGATCACTCATCTGTCGTTGACAAGGAATATATTTTAATTAGAAAATTATTATTATTCTCTCGATGATAGTAATCGCGGCTACGTATAATAATAGAAAACGTGATTTTGGGTTTGACTCTTACGACCATTTAGAAGATAAAATTATTTGTTTGCAGAGTTTTCGACACAGAATTGGCAATTAGTAAAAAAAAAAGAGAGTAAAATCGAGGATAAAAATTCACCTGTCCCAAAAATATGTCGAACAGGTTCAAACGAATTATTTTCGATTTCACATTTACGTTACGTAGCCTGCTGTCAGCGAACATGCCGGGTATTATTTTTTCTTCTTTCTTTTTTCTATATTTTTCCAGTTTTCGATAACGATGATGGTCGCGACGATCGATCCGGTTAGAGGTAATCCCCGCCGCCTGCGATTCTTTTATGGCCTCCGATAATATCTGCAAGTGAATCCGAAGGAACATTAAATTTTCGTTAAAAAGATCGTATTGAACGATGTAAGTGAGACAAATTGTGGAGGACAACCGCAACGATCGCACCATTCAGCGGGCATCGGCGCGTAAAATTACGCGAAGGAAATTCAGAAACGCGCATCGGTGTTTCGTTTCGTTCCGTGGAAACATTTTCGTGTCTCTAAGCGTGTTAAAGATGAAGCTCACACTCGGCTGCATAGAGCATCCGCTCTATTCGCGAAATATGTATACGATATGCAGAGCGTATGCAAGATACAGGAGATATGCATAATGCAAAACGTATGGAATTGTGTTTAAAAGGAACGAAGAGCACAGAATCTACGTCTCGGTTTCATCAGAGAAAAGCGAACGAATTACGCGTTTGATCGGTAGGATACACCGACAGAAACGATTCAGTAGAGGATCCTTGTGATTGCTGTAAGCAATACATCCAGGTTTCTCTAACTATTATATACATCTAACTATACGTCATTTAATTTTGATATTTTTACTATGAAAACAATTCATGTGAACAATCTTAACCGCAATGACGAATGAAAACAATTTATGTGTACTTTAATTTAAAGAAGAATGTAATACAACCGTAAGAAATTAATTTAATGCTATTAAAGAAGAAAACCAGATATTGAGATACCATTTGAAAATTAATTTCTTACGGTTGTGTTACTTTCTCCTTTGAGTTAAAGTTCGTATAAATTTTTTAATATTAAAACAACTCATATGAACAATCTTAACCGCAATGATAAAGAAAACACTTTATATGAACATTAACTTAAAAAAGAATGTAATACAACCGTAAGAAATAATTTAATGTTATTAAAGAAGAAAACCAGATATTGAGATACCATTTGAAAATTAATTTCTTACGATTGTGTTACTTTCTCCTTTGAGCTAAACTTCGTATAAATTTTTTAATATTAAAACAACTCATATGAACAATCTTAAACGCAATGATAAAGAAAACACTTTATATGAACTTTAACTTAAAGAAGAATGTAATACAACCGTAAAAAATAATTTAATGCTATTAAAGAAGAAAACTAGATATTGAGATACCATTTGAAAATTAATTTCTTACGATTGTGTTACTTTCTCCTTTGAGTTAAAGTTCGTATAAATTGTTTTCTTATATCTTAATTTTAATACTACAATTAACATTGTATTGCGTTATTATAATATTTCTATTCTATGATTATAGATTATATGGTATTTGTTATATTTAAACGAGGATCCTGCCAACTTATGGTAGCGTATTGCCATAGGTATGCAGTATTGTTCGGTGTAATGCTATTCATGCACCTGTCAGTCATTAATGCCGCCCCCTTGATCCGGGTTTAATATTTAAGCCCGAAACCGAAACCTTTGTCGACCGTTTCCGGTTCGCGTGATTAGCATAATGTTGACCGCCCACGCAGAACTGCAGCTTCCTCTGTTCATTGAAATCTGTTTTCAAGAGTTTTCCACGTTACACGCTGAGGCGAATCCACTTTTACGCTTTCTTACCTTTGCGAATAAATCACCGGGCAAAAATTCTCGTCCCATTAAAATTATAGGGGATTTTTAAATAATTTCGTTACTAATGCTAACTAGACCGCGGATATTCACGCAAATTTATATTTCTATGAATTTAATCGAGCAAATAAAATTCCGTATATGAAATAGATTAATCTACTGAATATCGTCACGTGCACTTACCAAATATCGTACTTTAGACATTTCGTATGTTTTTGCGTATTACGTGTGTTCGCGTGCCTAGGCATTTTGGTATCTTTAAATTCGCCATAATAGCGTAAACATCCACAGTGTTTTTCTAGAAACAAATCTAAATTTTTGCAGGGTGTATTCAAATTATAGGGAATTTTCTAGTAATTTTGTCATTAAACAAAATTGGACTGCTGATATTCATGCAAATTTATACTTCTACGAATTTAATCGAGGAAATAGAATTGTGTATATGAAATTGTTTAATCTACTGAATATTATACTAAATATCATTCTTTAGATATTTCATATATCTTCACGTATATTATGTGTATTCTATACGTTTTTATACCTTTAAATTGTCTATAAATAGCTAAGTTAATTGTAATAAATACATAACCTAAAAATTGTCTAATATGCGCAAACAATCCGCAGTGTAATCATAATGTACAGAGAATTAGATTATTCTCTTGAATACTTCGAGATTGAATTTTAAGACGCTGATATTTAGATGACCGAGTTATCCACGTGCGCGTGTGACCATAAAGAAGGCAGGAAAAAGATTAGCGTCAGACGAGTTGATTTTTACGATCGTGTCGAGATGAAAGGGATGATATCGATGTACGAGTCGTTATTCCTTTCGACACGTTGGTTTTCTCAAATCTCATCCGGATTCTTCGAGGATCAGCAGTTACCCAAGAGCTCAGCAAGCTGTCCTATTCCCTCGGATAAACGTCGTTCACTGAATTTCGATCGACTGCGAATGAAATTATAATAACTCGCAAAATTGTAACCTCTCGAGTTATATGTATGAGAAGAAAGCAGCAGCAAAAGTAATTTCTAGAAGATTTTTCCAAAGGAACGCGATAACGTAGATTGAATTATAAAATCTGATTTTTCCAAATTTTTCGAAGTTTCGTAACTAACTTTCCCCTAATTTTTGTTTCTCTATCGGAAAACTTATTCCAAATTTTCCCTACATTGGACAAATATCTCTTTGCAGTTTTATATTTGAGAAATTTTCTTTTCAATTTCCCTATATTCCGAAAATTTTCCTTCGGAATTTTCCCTATATTTGGAGAAAACAACGACGAAAGCACCTTTCTAAAAAAATTTCACAGAAACAATGACGAAATTCTACTAACCGTAAAAGTACCGAAATAAATTTCCCAGATATATTTGAGGAAATCAGTGTTAAAGCTACTTCGAAGAATCTGTCGTAAGAACAGTGATAAATTCTGAAGAAGTTTGTACAGAGTAGCAAACAATTTAATGGACCGCCTATAAACTTGCCGCATACTTTCACGGCACGACAATTTCCATAGACTTATCAAACTTTTACTAAGATTTCGCCGAGGGGAGGCTGTTTTTCAAAGTTACGTAAATATTACTAGACGATTGATCGAGACGTCGCGTGACGATAATTTAGAAGCAGATCGGATCGGCAGTGAGTGAAGAGAACGTTTCTTGTGTCTCGACCAGTGGAATAGGGCGGCCTTTAATCAGACGACGCGACGCTTCCTTCGCGACCATGAAGGTACCTGCGCTGGTTGTCGTTCGATCTTAATTGGCACTGGTTACGTGAACATGAATAAATAAACACGTGCTACCTGATTCCTCCTATTCTCCGCTTTTCATCACCGTCGTCCACTCTTATCGTAAAAATAACTGAAATACAGCCTTCGACAAGATATACCGATAATATAGATTTT